AAAATTTGTTATTGAATATGTCAATGCTGTTGTAATGAAATGCTTCTTCTAAGTATGTGGTTATTAAATAAATAATTAACTGGGGAAAATATTCTTAAAAAATAGCATAAAATAAAAATAGAATTAAAAAAGAAATTTATTTATTTTTGCATGGTGTTTGACCATAGTGAGTTTCTCTGTTTAATAAAATTTTTGTCTGCTTTCATATTAGTGTTTTTTAAAGCATTTTCTTCTTTAATAATAAGATCCAATTTATTCTATTTGTTAATTGTCATGGACAATAGGAAATAATGAATTATTATGCCAATGATTAAAATAATAACATTACAGTAATACCTGCAAGTATTCCTTTGGGGAGAAAAAGTCTCATTTGACAGGTGAAATGGAAAATGAGCATGTTGTTTTATCTGTGCTTTGGACTTTCTATGTTCCATCAGGCGAGAATGTATCATATTCATCTGCCAATGTTTAATAGATATAAATGTCTCTCCATTACTCTTAAATGCAACTGCAATAGTAAAAAGTATTAATTAAACATACTTCTGTTGAATGTAGTGAGAAAGTCCTGGTAGCAGTTGAATATTTTCATTTTAAAGATAGGAGCACATTTAAAGATTATTAACATTTATGTATTATACACTGATGATTCTTGATTTCAAGCAAAATAATTTGTACTTTAAAATATTTTATTATTTTTATTTTATGTATATCAGTGTATTTCCTGCATGTGTGTAAGTGCACTTGTGCTATGCAATGCCTGTGGAAGTCAGAAAAGAGTGTCAGATTCCCTAGATCTGGCGTTATGGACAGTTGTTAGCTGCCATGTGGGTGTTGGCACTCAAACCTGGGTTCTCTGGAAAAGCAGTCACTGCTCTTAAACATTGAGCCATCTCTCCAGCCCCTAACTTGTACTTTTTTTGAGTGAAATGTCCAGAGTAAAACTTTAGTTTCTCACTTTGAAGTCTTGTGTAGGAAACCAGGATGGCATGCCCTAGGGCGTGATGAGTCTAAAACTTTTAAAGTCCAGGCTATGTTATCTGCTGAAGGGAGGGGCACTGAAACGGCAGCCCTCAAAGCCCTCAAACACTGCAGGACTAGCAGGAGAAATGTGTTCAGGTCAAAAGTTTGGGCTCCTTGCTCTGAGGGAAAGCATCTTGGTAAACAGCCCTTAGCCCACTTCCTTGTCCTAAATCAATAACTCTCAGCTATCATTAGCTAAAAGATTAGGCCAGGTTAACGGTTTACTCCTGGGCTGTTGGTTCCTTTTATTTGCTACTAAAGAAAGTTTATGTTCAGAGGGTAAAAGAATTTCTGTAGAGCTAAACTACCTGTGCCTGTCTTGCATATGCAACTTCCACTTGCAACGTAAAGCATTGATACCCCTTTTGAGTGGAGAGAATAAAAAATGTTTGGTGAATGGGAAAATTTTCCCTTTGAGAGTGTGGTACATGATTTTCCTTTGAGGAAGCAGGCAAAAACTGACTGCCCTGAGAGTTCCTCATCTAATGCCACATCATGACATGTTTTCTAGCTTCATTTCTTTTTTAGTCTCCATTAAATACTTAGGTATTTTAAAATTGAAAGCAGGTGTTTCATAGTCTAAGTTTTGTAGTCTAAGTCTAAGCAGGTTTTGGATATATAGCATCACTAAATTATTGATTTATGGTTCAAAGAGATTACTTGTTCCCATCCAGTGAATTCGAAATCAAAACACTTGATTTTTATTTACTCAATGAGTTCTATTCATAAAAAATATTTGAACTTGTAGGAAGATACTTTTCTTTTAAATTTCAATGATGCTAGTAAAAGTTTTCTTTATTGACTAAAATACATTTAATAAGCATATAATATTTGTACTATTTGGGACCCTTTGTAAACATTGAATGATTGTGACAATATTTGGTTGATTTCAACATTACTGAGACTGAGTTTAAATAAGTCATCAATTTTTCACTTTAATTTCTTTAAAATAGTGTTTCATTTTCAGTGAAGAAAATTTCTAATATTCATAACATTAAGCTGTTTTTGTAAAATATGTTTTTAAAAGCATAAATAAATTTGTAAAGCATCATCCACAGGTTGCTGGTCTTGCATGCATGAAAGATGCAGTATTCAGGAAGTCATAGAATGTTCCACAACATTTCTTAATACCTAGTAAGGATAGGCAGTTTTTCATATGGTTGGAGTCTGTGTAAAGCATCAAAAGTCAGTTTATGAAAATGGGAAGATGAAGACCCCAGTCTGTTAGAGATGCCAGACCATCAGACATCAACTAAGGAAATGTAGCGGAGAGTCAGCCTAGGAGAGCAATTATGTGTTCTACAAGTAGCAGAACAACCGTGATGAAGGGGTTGGTGTATTCAAGCCCTTGGGTGTGCAGATCAATCTATTATGACTCCCAGATACTGGACATAGTGATAAATGATATCTGTTTGCTTTTCTAGGTTGGAATTTCTCTAGTCTGATTGTTTCCTTTATATGCCCTTATTCCTTTTAGAATGGGAATGCTTATTGTGTTCCATTGCATATTGGAATTATGTAATTTGGTATTATTATTATTTCTTGTATTGTGTGTGTGATGTGTGTTTAAATACAGGCAAATGTGCCATGACACATGTGTGGACACAAGACAACTAATTTTGGGAGTTCGTTTTTTAGTTGCACACATTGAGGCTGTGCCTTCACTATTCTTACTGCAGCACCGCATACTCCAGTCAACACGACTACTGAAATTCTGGGCGATGCTCCTGTCTCCATCTTCCATCTCACTTTGGGAGTGCCAGGATTGCAGATGCATGTCATATTATTCAGCTTTGTACATGAAGTCATGTGATAGAACCCAGGTCATT